CCCAAATTCAAACATTATTATACTTATCCCTTTCGTAGTTTCCCTGTCAACATCTCGAAGTCTCTAAAGAGCTCTTTCAACTCAGTTCGACATTGTTCCAACCTTCGATAACCGACCTGAATTTACTCATTTCGCGTAGTCTGTTTTTTTCTCTATTTTTAAAGGAGATAGAGAGCTGAAAAGCTTAGGAACTGGTATTACCATTTTATTCCTTTGAAATTGAGCTCGAGTTGCTTCCTTATCGGGCTGTTCGACAAACTGTCTTTAGCAAACGAAGTCAGGGGAGGGGGGGGGGGGGACTCATACTCCAAAGGCAAGGGGAGGCAACGGGACTGAATGATACTCTCGATGAGAAATGCAGGGCGTCAAAGAAGGACAGTTTTGAGGTAGTCCTTTTTCTAGGTAAACACCGCGACGCAACTTGAGACAGCCTACCCTTGCTATCGTCAATAACCATGCGTCGTTCTCGTTCTCAGCCGCTTATAGGCCACACCGCAACAGAGTGCAAGGCGACACACGCACGTACGTGAAGTGGTCCTCCAGTGAGCGACTCGAGACCCATGAGCCAAGCGGCTTTACTACCACACCATCTCTTACGGTTTCTGAATATTATGCCATACATACACACACAGTGAGGCTTCAAGAGAGCTTTATTCGTCGACACTGATACTTGGGTAGCTTGCTAACAGGCAGGTAAACAGACAACTCAAGATGACGCGGTATTTCGCTTCCACAGTCCTCAAATAACAAACTTTCATAGTCGCGCACCGTCTTGCTGTTAAAGCACAGCCGGCAAGCATGTTCTTCAGAACCTTACCTAATGTTCACTGTCATCACGAAGCACACGATTGATGGACACCAAATTTCAAAATCGAACGTATCACGCACCATTTCTCTCATGCAAGCACATGAACAAATCCTGTTAGCGATCTTGAGCATTCCTAATATATCGAGTGAAGACCACCGTTAAGTGAGACAGATGGTGCTTAGTAGCATTACAGTAAGTAGTAAAATGCAAGTCTGACGAATTCTGTAGGAACATTCTATGCGATAGGAATAGTCTACTCGAGAAACATATTCGATAGTGCACCTAACCATAACGTATAGATAAATCTGGTTATGTATCTGACCGTTTCGCAAGCTTGAAAGGGGTTTCAATTCATTTTATTATTGAAGTAAAGCTTCAAAAATCGAAAGTAACCGCCGAAAATTTTTTTAAAAAAAAATCGATTTTTGTCTTAGGTCAAGCGTATGGGTGTGGTTTCACTGTATTGTCGTTAATATTGTACAATACGTATAGCAACTTTCCGCAGTGTTCTTAATTCCGTTGCCGGTTTCTTTCGCCTGGTACTGGCTACGTTTTGAGCATACCCAAATATCGGCCGCGTATTCTATCATGTTTATATCGGGTGAACCACTATAGCATTGCAAATAACCGTGTATCTTATTAGATCACAGAATTCCTGACCTGAGAAACATTAATTTTTGTATGTTTGCTCTAAGGAAACTTCCTGTTTACCCGTGATAACTTCTTTGCTTATCAGCTCCGAAAATTGTCTTTGTCGTTGCCAATTCGCAAATGGATCTAATATGTTTATCTATGTTATTATTTACCACTGTAACCGTGTCTATATTTGGCATCACACATAAACCCCAGATGGGCTTATTTGCCTACTTATCCCCCTACCAGTTATCCCCCACAAGAAAAACTCGAAGCTAGGACGTCTAATTTCTTGTTCCAGAAATAAAAATGCTAGGTTATGATCGAGGAAACCACTTCAATATTGTCTGTTATCTGTTCTTTTCAATTTGGCTTATATATTATGATAGGTGAGGCTCATCATTTGATTGAGGGCAAGTTACCCTGTAACTTACCCTTAGTATTAACTTACCCTATAAGTTAATACTAAGGAAAAAATGAAGTTGTGGACACACCCAGTGTTTTGACATCTAACGTTAATGCAGCGTCAACTAATGCTACTACTGTTTTTCTGGAACATTGCACTGATTCAAAGACCACAACCATTTCCTATATACAATCATGCCTGTCATGTGATCTATGCATATGATATATAGAAAATTAAACAGTTTAAAGAGAAAAGCTATTAGAGATTAGTTTATAAAACTTTTATTTTTATTTTATTTTATTTTTGTTTTATAATACTATTACAAGCTTAAACTACACCTAGATAAGGAAGAAGCTGCGAAACAAGCTAAATTTAGAGAATGTAAGTATGTATTGTCGTAAATTTCGCAGCTTTTTCCTTATCTAAGTGTAGTTTAAGCTTGTAATGGAAAGTGTTAAATATACTTTTTGTTAATTAAACCTATGTACCTCTAATTACTGATTAATTATAAAAACAAAAAGGATTCTTCCAAACTTAAGAACATCAGCTTCTATTTACAATTGTACTTGGCAAGGTCATTTCAACGACCCTGCCACATATTTCCTTACCCTCAGACCTTACTACTTTTCTGCAGTTAGAATCTGTAAAAAAATATTGATGAACTTTTCATTATCCTATGACATGGCACGACACCGCAACTTCGCCAAGAAGCAATTTTTGCCAGTAGGTCCCAACGGATATGGGGCGCTACACAAATTTTTACACACAATTGTGAAAAATTGTATAAAGCATCGCCAAAACGGCCTAGATGTATGGCGACGCTGCTATTATGTACAGTCTATGGAGAACTCAAATCGGAGAATTAATTTTTAACTTTTTGACTGCCTATTTATAGCACTCCTATATCGAAGTTTGGATATCCCCCAATTGAAAGCGGCCAAAAACAATATTGCTTTTTAAAACTCTAACATCTGGACTAATTTTGACATGGTTGTAGAAATCTAGATCGTCTTATCGATACACAATATCTGTCATTGGCTTTTTATCTGGAGTATTAAATTCGTAGTATCTTCATGACGGTAGCGTCGCAAAGCGTGCGAAAGTACTCAAGAACAGATTTGCGGGTCGAAATGGATCACATTCACAAATCTCTATGAGCATAATGAATCCTTTCGTCCTATGATTAGCTCAACGCAGAAGAAGAAACGCAATTTCGCTCAGTCTGAAATTTCCAGTTGGTATCATTCGTTCGAGGCCTCGTTTCTACCACGACCACAGTCACCTATTCACGCACTGGGCTTTCAAACACGCTTCGGCATTATCGTATGGATCGTCATTACTGACGAAACTCTTGACCCATCCAAATGGGCCGAACGAAATGGCAGATTCATTCGGCGCCCCCCCTAATCCTAACCCTGTTAACACTACGCCGTCGTCCTGTTCTCTCTCAGTTACGTTTCCGTTTTTCTCTCTCTCTCTCTCTCTCTGTTTCTGCTGCAGCTTAGCATCCAGCGCCTGCTGGTGTTTGGCCTTGATGTGGGCGACATTCGTGCCCGTACCGACAAATTACATTGCCTCAAACGACTGAATCGCCAGATTGTTCCAAATGTTCAAACTGAATTTCGAGCGAACAGTGTAAATGAATCTCTGCGCACAAACAATTCATAAAAAAAATCTTAATTATATTATAGCCTGGTCGTCGTTTTCGCTAGGCAGATTACGTAGACAATGACGGCCTAGGATTCGTCCAGTGAGGTTTAGATAGCACTGGGCCTGGGTTACACGTTTACAGGAGCTTAATTTCAAATTAATCAAATTAAACTAACTAACAGTAAATAGGTTGAAATTCGAATTTATCCGCAACGGAATAAATCCGAAACCATATGCGAAACAGCAAAAAAGATTCCGAGGTTTACCTCTGGCACTGTTATTTATTATATACTTGAAATCGCCCTTTGTGCTGGCCCTTTTTAAATACGATGCTGAGCAACATTTGTTTTCGAACCTAGACCACTTTGCATATTCCTTAGATTTGTAAACAAATGCTTTTTTACACAACAATCTGAGGGCAATGGGGGTGGTAAGTGGTGGGCGTGAAAAAAACCGCTTTGTCTGGTCGCGTATTGTTCGTGATATCGTAATATAATAAATATTCGTAAAATACCAAAAGTTTGTACTATTTAGGCATAGCACTCTAAGAACAGTTAAACCACTGTTTGCAATTGCCAGACCGGTCCCACCTCTGCCCTACTTGAACAATATGAACAGTTAATATCCATATGTATTAGCTTGTAGGCAGAGATGACTAACATGTCTGAACACGGAAACTTTCTCCAAATACGTCTGAATGCAGGAACTTCCTCAGAGCGGCATAATGCGCACATCACTTAGCTTCTCGTTCGGTATCGTCTTGGCTTACAGAATGAGGCACAAACGATCAGAGAAACACGAAATTTCGCTTGAGATATCGCGGGCTTCGGTTGACGAGGGTATTATACACGTTTAAGAGTTAAAAGGTTCATAAAATATTCGTTTGTTCGTCCGGAGCGATATCCATGTTTTGTACTCCCCACGTACTTGGAACACTTCAAGAGGCAAAAAGACAGATAGCAGCTTGTTGACAACGATGTCAACTAGTAGACGACACTAATCAAAATTGATACTATATATATATATATATATAAACCCAGGCCTCTGTCTCTCTGCAAACAGCAATGGTAAATGAAGTGCTGCTCGCTGTACTAATTTAACTTCGTTACCCTTCGGTAAATCGAGAGCGATTCTGACAAGAGACGACCATAATTAGACACTTAATAGAAATTAGCTGGCTCACTCTTGTCAAGACGTTTGCGCTCGACTAGTCAAAGTTCTCCTATATGTCAACTTAATTATAATGATCATGCAAATAAAAGGTTCTTAAATAATAAAAAATAAAAGAGGAACTTCCATTCCTTTAACGTACTCGACAAGAACTTCTTCCTAGCACTTTTTCCAAATGGCAGACTCTCATTGAAGCTTTGCGAATATTGTCAGCTTATTTGCAAAATCACATTGATTGATAATATATACTTGTTTGATCCTATCGAGTTCTGCTTTTAGTGTGCGAGTCTTAAGAAACGTCTAATGAGTAGTCGTTCAACATTGATTACGTACGTGGGATAATCGTGACTGTAGCTGCAGACGTCAAGTTCGCGAGCACACGGCGGACGAGGCTCAAGGAAGTCTGTTGGTGAAGGATTCCGTGGTGTTTGTTGAGGTAATTGCGAATTCACAAAACGATAAGTACCTACCTCGGCCAGGGGTAAATCGTCAAAATCCCTGTAGTTTATGTGAAATGAACAGATAAAGAAAATATAGCTTGTTATTATTTCCATATCGAGTATGCCCTTGCACTTGCATTGTCTATTAAAACTAGATAAACGAAGAATTAAACAGGGGCCATTCGCATTTTATAACAGCCAAGTGACGAAACAGACAGGCTGATAAAAAAGCATACTAAACACTTTGGTCTACGTTTTGTTAAAGGAGGAAAACCGAGTTACTATAAAACACATAGAACTTTTTGCGCCACAATGCGGTCAAATCATGCCCCATTTGTATTACGAATCGTTAAATAATTAAGGACGTATATGCATAGGAATTATGATCTTTTCATATTGACAACTAAGCTAAATACAAGGAAGTATCATACTGCACGCATGTAAACATCGATAGGAGGATGTATGGTGATATAGGGGAGTGAAAGAAATTGCAGCCCTAACTGTCCACATTGCTATATCTAATGAAAACGTTCGTAAACGACTGATATGTGCGCGCTATGCCCTTACACCCACAAGTCATTCCGCTTGAAAAGCAAAAAAAGACCTTCAAAGGGGAAATGGCAGATGCAACGATGCGTAGGTATGCCGTGGAGCTAGGTTATAGGGGACATATATATATAAGGGCCTTTAAGGGAAAGACTGATTTTTTCAGATGGATAGTTCACTAGGATTTCGGTTACTCCCTCGGAGTGTGAGAAGTTGATAGCAAGATAATACTTTCCGTTTCGTATTTAATTAGCCAATCTCATATTATATAACTGTATTAAGCTTATCACTTTAATTCGCTTCTCGCGAAGCATATATCTAGTTAAGTGTCTAATTTGCTTAGCTGTTGTCGGCAAACATTACAATAATTGCGTAGTATTCATTACTGACAATAATAAGTAGAGTTAGGTCCAGCTTTATACAGCTGCAGGCCCCCACGCCTGATTGCTTGTGGAGGTGAAAGATACTTGACGGGTGAATGAGTCACCGGGTGCTCCATTTACAACCTCCCAGCATTTTATGGTGCGCAACTACGTTGGGATCAGTCCACGGGAGTGGGCAAAACGATGACAGCTTCCAGCTGTGAGTTACTGTATTTCCTCGCTATAGATATTAGTCGGAGCATATAGTATAACGGTATTTATGTATTGATTACGTTTTCTGCATCGTTGAGGGGACATTGGCGCAATTAAAAATTACTCCAAGCTATTAGACATCAGGTTACATTGCTTGCGTTACTATAATATTCATTGCGATTCCGCCACGTCGAGGAACTTAATAATAAATTATTACGCTTTATCGTACGTTATGTAACTTCAGCTAACATCGTATCTAAGTGGAGAATGATAGGATTTAATTTCGATTGACAATAATCTAAAGCTTGCTACCGAGAAAATACTTAAGTGGAACAAACGTTCGGTATTCGTGCATTCTGATTTTCAGTATGCACGCACCTCCTCAGCCTGAAATATCTATGGAACTTTGTAGATAGGCCAAAAACTATCGTCCCTATTATCTGGATGTTTTATGCGTTCATCTTAGGTCGACAAACCTTAATACATTAGTAAAAAAATAAAGGTGACCCGGCTCGCATCAGGATGGTATAAACTATGTATAACAGCTAGATGCGATGCTAACGGACTGAACTGGGATATTAAGCATAAGGACGAGAAGGCTTTTCCGCTTAGTTTAAGCAATCCGTACACATATAGAGATACAGGATGTGTATCCTCCTTCTTTTGTTTGCACGACGAGTACTTTAAAAGAAACATCATCGAGATATATGCGTCCTGCATAATCCACCGAGGTGTTAAGGAATAGTTGTATTTGATCAGCGTACATTTTACTTATGCCGATTCAAGCCTGCCGATTTCTGCTAACGAAACTGAATCTGGTTGTCGGCGGTTCGACTGCAAAAGTAAGGAAAAAACTATACCAGGTACGAACTCATTATCGAACGCCCAGGGTGGTTTCGAACCAAGGCGCTAAGAAGAAGCGATATATATGAATGCAAGCAGAGTGTACTAATGTACACACGGTTGTCAAAATGCGCAAGAACCCTAATTTCCTTCAGTGAAGTTGGAATTTGTACAAGAAAAAATGTTTGCCCTTGTACGCCGATGAATATCACTTCAACAGAGAGAACTACCAAACGGTAGACGGCAGCATAATCATTTTTGAGGAGCCTTTGCTTCAGGCAATATTCAAATCTGATGGTCCTTCAATAGGTGATTGCACCCCAATAGGTTGGTGGGAAAACAAAAACTCAACACATCTATGCATTTTTTGTTCGTTCGATAACGCATCAAATATGGCGACAGAAAAAATTAAATTTAGTTGACCAATTAATGACTATGGTACTACGGCTAATCGTAAATAAAGTCCATTGTTCGACCTATAAATAGAACGTTTCAATGTTAGCTATGTAGTATTCACGCTAGTAAAAAAAAGACATTGAAGACGAACTTAAAGCTGGGAAGTGAGACGCGGTACCTCGTCTGCTTTCGCATCCATTACGAAACATATCTTGTGTGACACAAATTCATTGTTGTAAATCGCGTTGAATATAAAAACTATTGTGCATTCCCTAACAGCCTGCAACAGGCTCTCTTGACAATGTCCCAAAGTAGTCATCTTCCACCCTGATAATGGACACCGAGCATTCCGTTTACACGTTTCATAATACATAGACCTATTAAAAATGTCGCCTACGGGCGATGTTTGCGGTTTGATTATGACAGCTCGGTATCTACTTTGTATCTATGAAAACCTAAAACGTTGTGAAACAACTAACATATTATATAGTCTGACTTATGGTGAATTTTCTTACCATCTTTAAATGCAAACCAGATTAGACCGTCCAACCTAATCTGCTTGTCGACTGAGTTGCATGCATGGCAGGGAATAAATGTTATAGTCTGACTGATTATAAGAGATCGGAACGTATACATAAAGAAAAACGGGTTGTTGCACTTTACTCACAAATTGCCATGTCTGTGACGTCGGTCGCGGCCATCCCTTCGTTCGTCTCGGTGGCTTCTTGAGTCGCCCGCGGCCCGCACAACTGATCCGCCGTTACGGCTGACGTCGGCACGATCTCCTCTGAGGTCGCGAAGAGGAGGTCGGGCGTCGTGTGGGTCGTCCCCGCCGAAACGATCACGGACCAAGTCCCTTTCTCGACCATGTTGGACAAGTTGGTCGTCAAGATTATGAGGAGGGTATACTTTAATGCCGTGCTCTTTGCGAACCTCCTGATCAGCTTCGCGTCCCCCGCCTCGTCCACTGTTACGTTGAGGGTAATACTCATCTTCTCGATAATCTACTGGGCCTTGTTGATCTCCTCGAAAAGACCTATGGCCGCCGCCGCGATCTCGATCGCCACTGCGTGCGTCCTTGTCATGCTCTTTCTTATAAACAACGATTACGGAAGAACCGGACGAGGAACCAAAGAGACGCTCCTCTCGGACTTCAGATGCCTCGTGTGCCGCTAGCACCATTCCGATTCCAAATCCGAAAAGAAGACGAAGAAGGTAATCGTTCTGTGTTGAATAACACGTATTATTATTGAGCGTAAATACCACAGGATAGCAACAAGGATTAGAAGTGGATATCTCAGACTAGAGAAAGTACCATTCGGCGGATAATTAGTTAATTCATATAAGATATATTTTTAAAGTATATGCAATTTAATTGATTTGTAACATTAGCTTTCGGGTTTTTTAACGGTCATTTTTATGATAGTTTGTATAGGTAGATAAAAATAATGTGTTGATTTTGATCATGGAATTTCCTGCAGGGTATTTTGTTCCCTTTCAACAATATGATGATTTCAATTCTTCATTCAGTTGTCCAGGCCGCACAACTAGGTACGGCTGATGAGTGTCAGTCGTGACCGAACGTATCGTGACGCGTGGTTTACTCCTATTTTGTGTGGAATCGTTTTTAAAACAATAAACTGGAATATCTTAAAAAAAGTGACAAACATAGTACGAGCATTTCACCTAAAAACCGATATATAATGATACTATCGGCTGTCGTACAATTGCCGTGCCTTTAATCGTACCTCTCTCCTACAAATAATATTTTTTAAAGCGAACCTTAGGCTGAGTGGGTGCATTGTGATGCATGATCCTATAAATAAATATCTCTCTCGCTGTAACCCCTCTCAAACCCCTAGAACGTACGGCCCGTCCAAGTTGGGAGGAAATCGTATGCTTTACGCTTACAGAAATTTCACATTTAGAAAACAGATATTCAAAAGGCATACTTAAGCCAAATAATCAGTAATCAATACGAGACACAATAACAAGGTATTTTCGCTAACCTGATTGCCACATTCACTCTCTATTAACAGTACATGACTATGTAGACAATATTTCAGAGCTCAAATTTTTGCTAAATATGTTAGGTTAGGTTTCGATAGGCCGTTGCCAATCAGGACAAGGTACTAGTGTGAACAAAGCAATGCTTAACAGCAATATCGAGCTTCTTAAATTGACCAGGACTGACAATTTAAGTCTGACAACGGTTCGCTGTTCACGTTATATGTCTAATCTAGTTTACCTTAACTTTTATATTCTATATATTTTAGCTTGTTGGATCGAATGGTGACTTTATATATATATATGACAGCGAATGTGCCAGTTGCTATCTGCCCCTTTGCAGGAAATAGCTACTTCAGTAATCCTGTAGCTGCACTCGCGTCTGCGATTCAGCATGTTTAAGCTCAACAGGATGTAGTCCCTGTACAATACGTAAGGCAAGTACACCTTTCTCACATGTCAATGAACAGATCCACATGATTTATCAGTTGCTATCCAGGCCAACACGTAAGACAAATTAATGATTGGCAAAACTGATTCTGAACTTTGCAGGACCGTGATTCAGAATTAAATGACACGGATCGAGTTACGCAAGAGGTTTCTGCAAGGACGTTTTGCTGAGATTGTCTTCCATATGTAGTGCATATGGAAGGGAGCTAAACTAATATGAGAAACAGGCACTGAAGCTTGCTTTTCCTTTCTAGCCTGGGGGCAGGGTATTAGGTTTTTGACTTACTCTATACACTAACAAATGGTTTTATTGACTCACGTCAGAGAAACACAATTTAGATTAACCTAATCGCTAGCAACTGGGTCTTTCTTTCGACGAATAGATAGAATGTCCATCCAGAAGGAGATCTACAATGGGCGACAAATTTGAACTACGTTAGAACCAAAAATCTGTTAGCATCATGTCTGAAAGCACCTAACCACAATATTTAATTACTGACATATATAAATATACACGCACGATGTAATAAGGAATCATCGGTCAGCTGGATAAAGTGGTCAAGCACCGGTCAATTACGGTTTCGACATATACCGCTACAATATTATACTCTGTAATAAAAGTGTAACATAGAATTAGAAGAATTATAGAAGTGATTTTAGGGTACCCCTGTAACGGATGTGTTGCCTGGTTAGCTCCACTCGGATATCTTTTGTCACCGCGTGTGAAATAAGGACCCTCCAACTTCCCAGGAACTTTTGATCAGAAGTTGCTTTCGTGGCAAGCGGTCATGATTATTAAATGTAAGCACCGTTTACTGCGACCACAGCTTCTATTTAGGAGGTAAACTATTAACCAGCCATTTTTAATCTGTTCAATCAATTTCTTAGTAGTACTCGTGCAGCAAGCGATATTAATAAATGCGTAAAAACGCGCTAATGTATCGCTCGAATAAAGTACAACAAAAAAATATCCCAACGGAACTAAGTTTTGGGTTGAGAGCAGGCCGAAAGTCCCAAAGGTGCGAGGGCTTACAACGCTCAAAAGCGTCAAAAATATTAAGAGTTAAAGTTTATTTGGACGAGCCAATTAGCTGTTTATCTTCCCTTCGCTTAAATGTCTTTCAAGCTCTGTGATAAAAAAAAAAAAAAACGAAATGTATCACAGGCTTTTAAGCAATATTTAATGGACCCTCGGGCCCCTTTGAACCTACTATTAAAAATCTTCCGGTTTCCCTCACAAAAATCATCTTCAGATTGTTCAGGAATAGCATAGAAACGAAGCATAACCGTAGGTAGACCGTCGGTTTCGGGCAAAAAAGAGTAATCTCAATGGGGAACGCGGAAAATTTTTTACTAATAACTGATCTTTGTTTAAATCTTAAAAACAACGCATTATCGTTCGCTATGACAAGTTTGTTTTTGTTCTAAAAAGAGCTGGCTTTACTCTGATTTCATGAGTTACAGGTTGCAGATGATAATATATAAGTACGTCCATCTTGATAGCTGATATCCATGTTAATGAAGGTAATAACTGATCAATAATAATAGTGATCAGCTCGTTAGTTCTTATAGTGATCTATTTATGATAAACGCTGCTTCTAATAATTCCAGCATTACATTGCATTCGTTCTTTTCAGTCTCGGTTTGTTTACACTTGTTTACATTAAGAAAAAAAAACTAGTTTTTTTAGATATCTTTTTAAGTGTTCTTTGTTAATGTTTAGCCTGCCGTTTGTTTGGGGCTTGAACTGACGGCAAGTGTTTGTCAGACTCAGTCTATTTGGTCGCGTTTTGCAACGTTGTCGTGTTCACAGATGTTCCTCCAGATGCAGCCATATGGCGCTTGCGAGTTCCTAGACTTTCCCAGGCAAAAAAAAATCCATTCATTTTTGTATCACAAGCCTGACTTCGTAAATTGCCTCTTCCAAAAATTGCACCCTTCTCTACGACTGTGGTGGCACAACAGACAGCGACCGTGGCGTTGCCCAACCACAGGAGATTGTATAGACTTTGGCCTTATTCAATCATTTGATGGCTAAGCGTGAAAGATGCACGCTTGCCGACGCCAATACCAGTACGCAAATGCTGCACTAAAAAACTTTGCAGTATGGTTTTTATGGATTATTTTAAAGTGCCAAAAAATAGAGATGTCGTGAAAGATATGCTGGCATTGGTAAAAATTAATATAATTTTTAGATGTCACTAATGTGGCGGTAATTTGCCTCGTATAAACGCTATGGAAGGATGTTTGGATTGTGTAAGAGTCTCTCGTATGAATTGTTGTCATGTTATTAATGTATTTAATCTTCTATCAGAGCGCGCCGTCGTATCGCCTTTTTTCAAGTATTGTGTCCTTGGAAAATCTTAACGAACTATATGGCTTCAAAGTAATCTGCCTTAAATAAGATGAGGTCCCTCGGCGTTCGTGTCATTTGGAAAATCCTATTTGACAACGATAAGCGTGCTACAATTATTGGACCATCTTTACTCAGATTTCGCTAGGGCGTCTTGACGAACATTTCTTCGAAAACTTGCTATACTCTGCGATGTTACTACGACAAAGGCTGCCCAGGCCCATTAAAAATGTATGCCGTTAAGGGTCAAAAGGCGTTATAGGGAGAAACAGGCCTGTAACTTTCGTTCTCATCGTAGTGTTTCGCAAAAAAAAAAAGATGCTTATCGTAGTGGTCGACGGATCACTGAAAAAATCAAATTGTTGCGGGCAAGACGGACACCTGAGCAGCTATGATATTGCCAACAGCCTAAACATTTACCACCAGACAATTGGAACCAATTTAAAGGAATCCGGCAACAGAAGGGAAGGTTGACGTTTGCCTGCCACACGAACTAACGCAAAGTTCGATTGAAATTACAGAGGAGCGCAGCAGAATCGCGTCCTTCTTGAAGTAGTTTGTCATCGGTGCTAACCAGTAGATTAGATACAACACTGATGTGTGAAAAAATGGGCTTTTTGATCTGTGGCAAAGCTCGGACTGATGCATTACGGGTTGCTGCTGCAGCCTAAAGAGATGAGTGGCTCGAACTTCTACGGTCAACAATTAACAAGATTACAACAAAAAATCAACGGGAACTAGCGAGCAGAAAGAACGTCATCGACAATTCTAGAGTATGTGTATCGTTAAATGCCGGTAAAAGCATTGCACCCGCCGTATAGACCGGACTTTGCACCATCAAAATCACAATCATACAAAAAAAATACCCTTAATGTTGGTAATGTTTACTTCAATTTTCGATGTCTGAAACGCAAGAATTACCTTCTGCAATTTTTCATCCAAAAAAAAAAATTACAAAAGTTCTATAGCGACAGGATTGTGATGTTACCAGAAAAAACAGTAGAGGGTCATTGATGTGGCGCATATTTAGTTTAATATTGTTTTAAAATATAAACAATTTCGACTTGAAAATCGTCGATATTTTTTATAGAAATATATCTATCTAAAACATAAGTAAAATTATGCATCAATAGATTGTATAGATATCGACTTATGTGTACATGTTCGAAGTGTAAATTTCCAATATTAAAATACATATCGATTATCTCAGGTACCAGTTCCTGCTAACATCCTTTGGTTCATATAATTGTGATTAAGATTTGCGCGGTTTTTTTATTTTTTAATACCCTTGCATGCAAAGTATCGGATTTGCTAGATCTATGGTTTTTCATTACTTCTTGTGCGACTTATATGGCTATGGCCATTAGTGAACTTGAAATATTGCATTTTTCCATATTTTCTAAACGTAGCTATCCTGTAAATTTCTAATTGGCTACTGTAAAGATAGCAAATAATCCATGACCTCGTAGACCTGACCTGGCTACGGATCTGAAATGTTTGCAAAAAATATAAGTGATACCGACACAGAAAAGTTGAGAAACTAATTCTTTAGCGGGGAAAAATACAATTAGAAGTTGTACCCATTATGCATGATTATCTGGCTTCTGTAAAAAAAAAAAAAAGGCTTTTCATCGATATACTAGCTTTGCAATTCCAGTAAGCTGTTGGAATCCAAAGTGACGTTTGTCGTTTTCACAGCTCGATGTTTCCTGATTTGTTTATCTGCGTATTGTTTAGGTCTGACTCAATATGGTACGTCACCTGGTTACATATTACGACGTTTAAGTTAGGCTCTGTTTTACGTCACGTTTCTGAAAACGTGCCGTTATAACTTTGGAAGGAACGAAGGAGGAAACGAAGCAAAACTTGAAAACAGATTCTAGCACGAAGCGTTGAGCAGCCCGACCAGCACTTTTCGTGTCTGCGATTACTCGACCACAGAAATATATAAAATTTTAGATAAGCTTAGAAAGCGAAACGATCCAACACGTAATCGAGGATAAGCTCATAAAACAAAATAATATAAAAAAAACTAATGATGTACTTCTCATGGATATCGATATACGGATAGCTTCTCGCTCTTTCGAAAAGTAACCGAACTGGTCTTGAATAAGAAATAGACTAGGCATATGCAGTTTTAGCAGTAAATCGTCGAAAGTGAAAATGGTCTCTGACCTATGCGCCATTTTGAAGGCCTGCGCTGATACGGATACCTTTGCAGTTAAATATAGCACATTTTATCTAGTAGCTCCACGGATCTACTACATTCAATCAGGAACTATCGGCAGTTCAGACAGTTGGAACACTAATGTACAACACGTCTACGTACTTGCCGCCGCATACCATTAAAAATGCATTTTTCTTCCAACCTCGTTTGTGCAGAGCGTAAAAATCACATCAGGTAACAACTATAACTACGCAATAGTAAACAAAAAAAAAAAAAAAAAAAAAAAGCTGTGGATATTTGCACCGTGGAGGCGACTATGTTTCCGAAAGCGTTCGCTCACAGGCGTCGTTGATATTCCAGAGTCAACATTCTTATGCGAATTTCTACATTTTTCCTCTAGTGGATCCTTGTTGGCAAATAATTTTAACTAGATTCACAACAAGGACATACGGCAACGTTCAGCTGCTAGAAGGGATAAATCTGCTAGAGAAACACTATACAAGGCCCACGTTCTGATGGTTCCCATAGTCAAATGAAACAGGTGGTTCTTTAGCTATTTTACAGCGAACTTTGTTTCTACCAAAACAATCGAGTGTCACCAGCACCGAATTTTCAGGGGGCAGAATGTACGGGAACTTCTCTAATCGACCGTGTGTATTGATACCCGAGATCAGGTATTGAGCTATTATCAGCGTAACGAACTAAATACTATGTACCGAAGCCATGATGAAAAATAAGTTGTTCGACTTTCTCGAATTATCCACGGCCCAAGTGATGGCACCGTTCGAAGCTAAAAGGTATCTATATGCTTTTGGAATAGGTCTAGACGCCGGCGTTTCCTTTTTCGACGGCTACACAAGCCGTCGTATTGTTTCTATGATGAGCATTTATTCGCTATAGAATTTCTTAAACGTCTTTTAGAATCGCAATGATGTATTCATCACAGCTCCAAGTGAGCCCGCTATTTACGTATAAACCTTTCATGTTGCAAAATTTGTGAAAATAAAAAAAAAATAGTAATTTTTTATGGCAGTTCACTTATTCGCGCGTCCAGCTGCAGCATATAGCTTCCGTCAGCTATTCTTCAATTGGGCAGTTTCATCTTAGGCAACATTGTGGCGCGGCAAAAGGGTACCTTAAGAAATGCCGGAGAAGTCGGTAACGAACTTCCGATCGTGTCCGACTGTATCGTACCGTGTCAACAGTACCTTTCGCGGAAAACGCCTTATGAATCGTAACCGCGCCTGGCTAGCATGCAAAAGCATCGAGTGAAAGAAAGCAAAGCGTAAGACGTATACGTTTTTCTGCACGTTTTCGAGGATTCAAGTTAGTCAGTAAAATAGGCCTGAATAAAATCAATGCTGTAGGTTTTGCACATCATTGGAACGATATAAGGAACTTTGTCTATTGGATTCCGTTATGATGAATGACTGCCATTGAATATTTTCCCACACGGCTAACCTTCAAAATGAGTAATTTCGAATGTCGACTATTTTCCGTGTGTATAAGTTTCGTAGGCAAACGCAACGCCACCGTACGATCTTCATAGAAGCAGATTACGTCATGGTGGACCTTGACAACTGAAGCGCACTTCGCCGCCGGGTGTACTTGCATGTTAACTTATGTTGTAGTAAAATATGTTGAAGTAAACCGACTTAATTATAGTCATGTCTTTATACGACTAACGTACGCTTGATTCTTCTAAATAAGCTACGATTGCTTCTGTGGCTGCTACTCTGGTAGAGTTACTCTGCTTGTTATACATTGACATTCATTTACCGGAATTTTAGACATAAGCTTGATGTTAATAACCAATGATTGATGCTGGCTCAGTACTTAGTGTGATCGAGTATTGATACCTATCGTTGCAATGCTGTTTTTATCCGACTCTAACTTTGCAATTGGACTATACTTGTAGTCAACTGTGATCAACAGTACTAGAACTAGTAAGCCAATCAAACTGGGGTTTCTAAGCATATATATATATATATATATATATATATATATATATATATATATACACATACATACAAGCGTCTTTGTTTTTTCAAACGTATTTCTGCCGTTCCCCCAACACGACTCCTAAAAGTATTGGTTGTCTTGTTGTTGTTTGTACGCGTATTCGGTGTGATGGATAGCTGACCGTGAACCAGCCATTTTCTTGTTACCAGGTTACTTCCAACAGGTTCATTCAAATGACTACACTGAAACGTGTTATACAAATAGACCCACATGGTTACTTTAAATACTCAGTATATGAAATGATACGTGCCTACGTCTATTTTAAATTGGGAATGATTTTCCTTCTCGACGATCTATTTAGTTCCTATTAGGTAGTTTCAAAGTTGCATAAAATATCATTAATGAAAGTTACATTGATCGTCTACGTTCCCATACGCCGTGCATCCACTACAACCGCTGGGAGTCGTACCCAGACGTGAAAGTCTCACTAGCAGGCTTTCAGATGGGCGACGGAGATGAACGAGATTACGATCAATGGTTAGGGCTTAGACAGCCATCACAAAAAAGGTTTCTGTCTATCGATGGCAGGCCACGAGCCGAGGGAGCTTCCTGCCAGTAGTTCAAATCTCCAAATTGGAGATGGATCTGTATATCATGTTGCTTACCTCTCGTTCGCTACCTTCGTCCACCCCCCTTCCTATTGCTCTCGCCTCTTTGCTTCGATCTCTCGCTCGCATCACTTACCACAATCTCACCCCCCGCCCCCACGGAATGTCTTACATTTGCCGCGCTTCGTCGACGTCGGCTGTCGCCGAAGTACTTTTTTCTTTCTCTTTTCAGCCTTCTTCGTCGGCCTGTATCTTCAGGGAGAAATGCTGTCTCAAATGCAGCCGCCCAGCAGCCAGCGACCCTTCTCGAACCTTGGGGAACAGAAAAAAAAAAGACGAAACTAAGAGGGTATCATGGCGGTTGGTTATGTGGTTCTCGGCCTACTTGCCTGGTAGGTATTTCTATATACCCACTAGAAGCTAGCCGGCTTAGGTTCGCCATTAAAACGGTGGCCAGAATGAGACATGCGTGCCCAATCGACCGATTGGGCCGGCCGTTTCTCTAAGTTCTGTCTAGCACCAAAAGTGGAGGCTCGTGTGTGAGGAAACGGCAGGCCAAACGACGCAAACAGACCGACAGATCGTTTTCTAGCCTCGTTACATTTTCAAGCAGCGTTCTACTACGTCACCAGTTTCTTTCCCGTCGTTGACGTTAGTTGGCGCTTTTCCACTCTGCCGATCTTCGCAATAGATTAATTGTAAACTATGCCAGGTAGCTGTCTGTAACGGCGAGAGCTGTGCACTAGTAGTTGTAATACGATTTTGTTCGGTACTATCCACGGACCGTATCTTTTACAGTGCGGTAGAATATTCGTGAGACAAGCTCTCGCGCGAACATCCACTTACAGAAATACGTTGGAGGCGGCTAAAGGCAATTGTTTAGTAAATATATAGTATACATACACATATACTGCTGCCGCCGTGGCCGCACATACACACGTCCAGTGTCTCGTCGACTGTAATATAGAAGCGCAGAGAAAAACCCTGAGTTGGGCTCAATGCCTCCGCCGTGTCATATTGCAATGTCCTTGGGGACCAGATTGCAGCCGCGTTTTTGTGCAACCCTGAAACGGTACTCCTAATCGAAAAAGTTCGTTTTAGCTCCCGTCTCTAGCAGCCGCCACTGACCAGGTCAGTTTGTTATCGTAGGTTTTCTCGCCGTTGATTCCGCCCCTTCGTAAACCACTGGTCGATACGCCGTCATTTTGAAGAATACGAATACTGACACTCGGTCGCAAACGGCGACGATGCACTTTTTCTTTTACCACTAGCAGCGCCACTAGTTCGATGAAGAGGTTCAGGGTAATAGAAGCAGAGGAAGAAAAGTATTAGGCAAGAAGAGTTTCTCAAACGTGCAAGTTTAAGCTATGGGATAATATACATGGGTCATTAATTTTCGCATTGGACACATTGCCAGAGCTAGAGGCCCATCGGCTACGGCGCACTGTCACAAACTTTCTTGATTTTCCACCTCAGCATCGCCTCATCTCATTTGAGGCAAATGTGAGTCTGCGACAGATCATAAAAGGTTTTCAATATCTTCCGCTGTTAACAGAAAAAGCAAAGGGGACTTCAATCAGCGACATGTTGGTTTTGCTGTTGCCAAAAGAAAATGTCCAGAAATGAAATTGGTGGTCACACGTATTTATAGCTGCGTCAGTTCAATGAAACTTGCTAGGCATTACTAAGCGTGTGGATCTGACCTCTTTATTTGTGAGTCTTGTAACATATCTATAATACAAACGCGCTGCTGCGGCGGGTTATATAACTAGTCCTATATAATGTATGAATTAGCTTTTTCCTTCTATTAGTATGTCACCACATGCTATGCCGGTGGGCGACTGTAATCTTCTGGGAGAGACCGCAGAAGACTAATTTCGTCGAAAATATAATCCCATCCATACTCTGTTTTGTCACGTACGAACGTTTCATAATACCGCACATATTCAGCCGATAAGCACCAGATTCTCACTTCTTTTCAATTGATTTTTTTTTCGATGAGTCACACAAACGAGATGTGTCCAAAAGGCATGACTTCTTTACGATGTATACTGCACTGTTATTTCAACTTACGTGTCTAAGATGTGGCATGACGTTTGACGCTGTGCGCTTGTCCTTCCTGTAGCTCCGTCCGATCTGCTGGTGGACCAGCGAATGTTGTCCATAAACTGTATAAGATGTGATTTTAGCTCGCGCAGGCCGTGGTGGGCAAGGTTTTCAGCTGACTGAGTCCCTTCTCACTGCCTCTACCCGGTCAACTTAGCTTACCACCACACACAGAAAGCATGCAGACCATAAGTCAGCCATAGTGAAGTCACCAATTTTCCTGTGGACCGCGACATCTCTGTCACCGCCGTGCGTACCGTCCCTGCTACTGCGCTCGCCCGTTGACTATCAAAGTGAGAACTAATTGAGCCACTTCCATCCAACTAAGCAGTAAGAACCAAAACCTTATACAACCAGCTTCATTTTTAATCCGACACTATCCCGACATCTGCTTTAAGTACTGATGCGACTTGATCTATTGAACGTTGTTCTTTTTCTACTTTTTTTTTTTTTTTCTTTTTGTCTTTTTCATGTGACCTCTGTCATTTTTGGCGGGTAGGATTTGAATACTGTACATCGTGGCTACACCAGCATCGCTTGCCGTTAATCAAGTTCTCACTAGCTTTAGGCATAGCATCACGTAGTTCATATGTAAACACTTATTATATGTGTACTTATGTCCAAGCACATAATAACCATAGCATAATAGAAAGGCAATTACGATGGATGGTGCTCAATCTAACAATCAACTAAATCTGGCCAGCTTAGTGGTTTGACAGGTTAAGGTGCGAAGAGCTGATTTGCTAAAAGCTTGAAGATAAATTGACTGTCCTTTCACAGTGTTCGACACCGTGTCTTTTGGGATGAACTAGTGCATCGTAGCTGGGCATTTAGTTGTCAACTGAATGAGCCCTTGACGGCGGCTATCGCGGTCACATCAGCGTTTTACATTGAGGGTGACTCGTTATCCATTCAGTAAATAGTACTTCGCCTCATTAGATATAGACTCATAGACTCATTAAGATACGCGCGTTTGTTTGTCTATGTGGCATTATCATATTTAAACGCGTTTGTTCTTGTCTAAACTATGGTTAATCCCTATTTTTAAGTTGTGGAACCAAATCAACGGCAGAGAAGATGCCCTTGGAAGGAGATCTAACGTAATAAAAGGTGATCTTCGTTTATCTATCGTCACTACTTTGTTTCGTTGCCTATTAATAGATATAACTGTTATTTGTTTCACCGCTCTTATGTGGCTCTAAACGTATTTTTTTATACAGCACCATTGGCAGACTTACTACACAGATTTGCATGGAACTGTTCACTTGTTGAATTCGATATATTTATATTTATCTTTTTTTCCTTCTTTCATTTTTTCTAGCAGCCCTCCGCCTCCTACTTTAATTTGATGTTCGTCATTGCGATACCTTCTCAATCTCTCGCTACGACACACTTCCAAACGACACACATCTCACGAAAAAACCAGCCATGAAGCCCATTTTTACGACCCCGATAACTGCTTCAGCAGAACCCATTGACGCCCCTCTGTCTGCCACTTATGTAGATTTAATTCATTTGAAGTTTCCACAGAGTGGCTGCAGCGTACAATGAAGGCTAGATCGCTCGACTATATGTCAGGTGGAGACTCCCCGTCTGCAAGAGTTTTCTATACTTTTCTGCTTCATGGGAACTTCATAAGGATGATGATAGAACGATATATCCCAAAATAATATATAGTAGTCAAGCGCTTCGTTGAGTAGCCAAGACGTCTGTCGAACGAAAGAATATTTATTTTAGGCGAGAAGCTACAGTGCCAAGCAAGAGAAATGATAGGCTTTAGCCGACAAAATTGGCGTGTTGTTTAAACGTGTCGTTCTGTCTTCTTCCGTTCGGCCGCTCTTCGCAGAGTCACTTATATTTGACATCTTCCTGAAGAAACCTTTTCTGCAGCAAGAATTGTACATTTATTTTCCTATATAAAGAGGCAGATCTCCCTACAAATTTGCCTTTTTTACCCTGTCCGCGTTATGCCTGTCTCTGATTCCGGCTGTTTAATTTCTTCGATTTTCATAAACGTAGATGTACTTGTCAAAAATTATATCATGAATGCATTACAACAATTATAAATATATTTTTGTTATTAATGTATAAAGATGGTGCTCCTTCTTGGGATATATATATTTCTAGAGAGAGAGAAAGGGTGTTGCTTTGCACCTTTTTCGGTTCCTTCTAGCTGACACTTATACCGTTACTGCATGTCCATAGCAATACAGAATGTTTACATATATATAATGCAGTATAAGTTCGTTTCATTGCTAAAAACAGCCGCGATAAATAGCTCCGCTGTGATCCCGTACATATTCTTAGCACCCGTCAATAGCTAGTTGAAAAATAACTTGTCAAATTAAATAGATTAGACTCAACTTAACCTATAAACTCCAATGTAAACGCGAAACTAGTTCAGTGTAAAGTTTCCTGTGTTACTGAGCTGTACAAGCCGCATAGTCAGTGCTCTATATATTAAGGCCTGTTACGATGTGTCATCTAATTGTTTATAAGCCTCTGGCTTAAACAGGGGTCACACTGACCAACCCCAGCTCCTTTCTGATCGAAAGCCTTCAATGTGGAGGAACAAAAAATATATAAGTTCATCCTGCTTTGGCAAGACATGCCGCACTGCGATGAATTGCCATTCATGCTACAGTGTTCAATAGGCACCCTACACTGATTGATA